TTTTTTTTTACACAAACCACACCTTAAATTCTGTAACCTATATGAGGAATTTACTTTACCACTGCAGTACTCGGGCTCATGCTGTACTGTCTGTTTGCCAAGTTGTACACTGTTAAACCCACAGAAGTTGCATTTATATTCAAAATAAAGATCAATGGACCAGTTTCAAGTATTTATGACTTCAAATGTTTTGTGCAAAAAATGAACCTCCAGGGCTAATTCAGTTAGCTCAGAAACTTAATTTTTTTTTTTTTTCAAAACCTCTAGAGAGGCACTTTTTTTTTTTAGTTTTAATAAAATGTTTTAAATAATGTAGCCAAATAGTATCTTCATCTCGTTATTCATTATTGTTAGCAATTGGAATCTTTTTGGTTTTCATATTATTCAAAATATCCAATTTAGCCAAAGCTTTAGCCATCATTTATGACATTTAGTGATACTTAGCCATGCATCTTTTTTTAAATTCTATTACTTATATTTTCAAATAAAACTAGGTCGCACTGTCTATAAAATAATGTTCCTTTATAAATTAAAATAACTTTACCTAAATTTCTTATGTTGTCTGTCTAAAACAGGTCTCTTGAAAATGACTCCTTGTGTGAGTGAAAAACTGACCGTCTGTGCAAACCTGCATTGAACACCCCCACCCGACCCCAACACACACACACACACAGTACACATGTGATCACTGCCTTTATCTATTTATTCCAGTTTAGTTATTTACAAAGCTCAAATATGCTATTGCATTTTATTTTTTTCATATGAATGGCATTTAAAGTAAAATGTCATGTGAAAAATGTTATTAAAGCTGCAAAGGATGAATAAAAGAAGTGTTTAAACTATTAAGACAACTTTATTTGTAATTATAAAGACAACCACTTAAAAAAACATACTTTTTTATATGCAATTATTTTTCAAAGGAAGCATACTATCTGCATGTGTATATAACATAATTTTAAAGCATATTATACGTATAACTATAGTTACCATTAGCAAAAGAAATTAAAACAATTGAGAATCGTTTATAGGATTATGTTAACCCCGAGGTTAACGTTAAATTTAAAAACAAAGAAAAATAAGAAAATAAACTATCACATAGTATGTTAAAATAAACCATTACAAATCTTCTAAAACAGTAGGCCGTTACAAAATTGTGAAAAAAGCTCATGACTAAATGTTGACACACTAAATAAAACAAAACCAACAGAAAACTACAACCAATTTAAGCACATAATTCAAAAAGAGATTACGTATTTAAACAAACAAACCCTGTTGAATTTAAAGTAGAAATAAAATGAAAAGGCATCATTTAAAAGTAGTAAAAAAAAAATCAAAGTAGTTGGTGGTGGATTGGATTAAGAGCTAAAGGTGGTGCTACTTGATGAGAAGCTGTAGGTATAAGAGGAATAATCCACACTGCCTCTACGAGATCCACTCCGGGAACCAGCTCTGGAG